ATTACATCAGTCCATTCTTCCAACTTTAAAGGGTCACTTTTCAGTCAGTTTCTTGTTATTACCTTTTTGCTTGACAACATGATTTTAAGTAGTGGTCCTCCTTTCTTACGTTTTCCCATATTCCAAAATACATTACTCTGTTTTTTAGCTTTAACATCCAGCATTAACAACAGCTCGCTGTGATGTCTCCAGAAAGTCTAGTTTTATTATATTGTTTTGGCTTTTTATCTTTCATCGATCACTCGTTTTTTGCCCATGAGCCAAATACAAACTCTTTTAACAGGAAGTAGACAGGACCAGTAATAAAAAAAGAAAACCCCCTGATCGTTCTGATCGTCCGAGCCAAAGCTGAAGACATAAACCCAAATTAAAGGCATGGGTTTAAAACAAAACTCCTTTGAGTTTTAACACAATTGTTTCCTCATTTAATGAGAAAGATCATTTATAAAACAGATCATAAAAAGTTTATCTGAGTTATTCTGTGCACATTCATTACAGTTTCTCTGTTCAGTGAGTTTCATCACTGAAAATGTTATTTCTGAGATTTTTTGTCTTTAATATTTTATTTGATCTGAACATTCGAGGACGAGTACAAGCAGGAAATGATCGATTCCCTTGGTAAAATCACACAATCGTGTGTGTGTGTGCAGATTTTCCACAAACCTCTGCTGGAGTGCGAGCTGCTGACAGAGAAGGAGGTCGCCATGATCTTCGTGAACTGGAAGGAGCTCATCATGTGCAACATCAAACTGCTGAAGTAAACACACCAAGCTGTGAAACACACACACACACACACACACACACTGCGCATGCACTTACTCGACACGGGGACATTTGCATCTGGTGCACGTTTGACTTGCAAAGCTCACCTTGTTCCATTTCCTCCTGTCGGACAGTCGCTGCAGTGTTTGTATCTGTGACGGTGAAACTTTTCCTCTGCAGGGCTCTGAGAGTGAGGAAGAAGATGTCGGGCGATCGGATGCCCGTGAAGATGATTGGTGACATCCTGACCAACCAGCTTCCTCACATGCAGCCGTACATCAGGTGCTGTTTGCCATCTCAGTCCTGAGTCGGCCTGTGGAGGGATCATCCCCTCAGTTTCGTGTCTTTTATGACTCTTTACTGTTCTCGTGTTCAGGTTTTGTTCGTGTCAGCTGAACGGAGCCACGCTCATCCAACAGAAAACAGACGACAACCCCGAGATCAAAGACTTCCTCAAGGTACAGCGCTGTAGAGGGAACTGTGGGTAAGGTTTTAGCCCCTCGTCCCAAAGGAAAAAAAATCACCTGGATGCTTTTTATAGTGGGGTTTTATTTACTCATGCACGGTCCTGTCACGGTCCACACAGACCTTCCCTCAGTTTGGAAGCTTACTAAGAAAACTGGCAACTCAAACATACCTTTGGTCTTCCTGTTTTCTTTTTTCGTCCGATTGTTGTGCGGGTGATTTTAATGGACACTATAAATGTGAGAAAGTGAAGGTGTGGATGATTAATTGCAGAATAAAGATCTGATTTTCTCCAACTCCCTCTGTGTGTCAGAGGTTAGCCATGGATCCCCGGTGTAAGGGAATGCCTCTGTCCAGCTTCCTGCTCAAACCTATGCAGAGAGTCACGCGCTACCCTCTCATTATCAAAAACGTACGCACAGCATCCACACACGTCACCCTCCCTCATATTCAGTCTGTTTTCTCAGCGTTTTGCTTTCTAGTTGATCTGTTTTTTTGTTTTTAGATTTTAGAAAATACTCCAGAGTCTCATCCAGATCACAGCCACCTGAAAGCAGCTCTGGAGAAAGCAGAGGAGCTGTGCTCGCAGGTGAGAACCCAACACGGGACGATGTCCACGCCGCAGTGAAAGCCGCAAATGTGTTAGTCTAGAAA